AAAAAACTCCTAAAATAACTGTAGCAATGTTCGCGATCTCTTCGCCAGATAAACAACATAAAATTATCCTATAAACAATAAACGATGACAATTGGTAAATTAAAAATTAATAAAAGTAATATGGAGTGAGAAAGTGATATCACGTCGGTACACAAACGAGCTAGAAAATTCTGAACGCACACGTACGCACGCATGAATGTAGGTTGTAAAAGAGGATATTGTGTTAACGTGTGCGTACGTATTACGGCCACGCACACACACACGCAAAACTTACATTACACATGCGACACCGTACATCTGCTCGGTCGTTGCTTGTGTAAATAAAGATTCCCTTATCGGTAAGCTAGCACATATATAGCGGGATATTTTGGAAGCCTTCTATATTACTTCTTGTATATACTCGTGTACATGTATACGTATGTCTTTACTTCGGTTGGATGACTAAACAACGACTGAAAACCATAATTGAATGGTTGGATAAATACTTGTTAATAAAATTAGTCGTAATAATATACTCGAGAAACTATTTGGATTTCTTATAAATCTTGGACGAGCGTTATAAGTTTTCGGTACGTAAGAGAGTCTTTGTACAATCCTTCGAGAGGCCATTTTACTCTTATTTTAAAATGTGGAGGAAGGAAGTGTCGATTGAATCGAACATCAACGAACTTCGGAATCTCACGACTTTATGAAGTTGCCTTGATCGTTTTGGGATCGAGTTTTGGGTAACCATTGACTTTTGCTGACCGTCCTACCGCGATTCGACCGCGATTTCCTTACTGCCATTGTGTCACACTTGAAGCAATCTTGATAGACTCCGTAACTTCGCTAGAATCTCGCATAGCTTTCCGAGTAATGGGTTAGGTTAATGTCGACAATTGTCCCGTTGAGTCAATTATTTGCAATCTCTATGCAGAATTTCAAAGCGATTCTGTAGTTAACTTATTAACCGGGCGGAAAGTTTAAGCAGAAGTTAAGATTCCGCGCATGCCGAATGAGATATTACGTCAATGTGAGAATTTTTATCTACAGAAGACTGAGACGACCCCACATCCTTATCGTTTAGAAATAATATTTTTTGGCATTACTGCACCAAAGCTTTACACATACACCTATCGTTGCAAAAGTAATTAATTAAAAACTTAGATTTTCGTCAGAAAACATTGATAGTTGGAAATTTTTACATATGCGCGCGATTTATTGAACTACGTCAATAAATCCGAACAATTCAATGTATAGTCAAAAAGTGGCGACAATATTTTATCTGATAATATTTTAACATTTTCACGAGAATAAACGATACAAATAAAAAAAAAAGTTATAAAGTCAAAAGTGTATCGAATGTAAATAGAAAATCCCATGTCCGGTCAAGCACCGAATAACGCAGTTATTACTGCAATTTGATCAAATGTGCCAGTTTTCCAAAATGGATTTTCGACTGCGAAAACGCGCGTAACACCTGAGATTCCCGCACGGTATCCAACAACGCGCGTCGAAGTTGTCCCGATACGAGTCGGGAGCCAAGTTTGCGTTAGAACTCACCGATCGAAGTACCGCGGCCCGAAACTGTTTATAATTTAAGGGGTTCTTGAGAGTCGAGAGCCGGCTGCGGAGGGTTCGGAGTGACGCAGTAGCCTAAGGACGTCGCGAGGGACGATGTCGTTCTATTGCGGTTACGGGTGTAAGGAGAGTCTCGGATAGGCAGAGGAGAGAAGAGCACGGTGAAAAGCACGAAGTCGAAGTGTCGAGGTGTCTACGTGCCTGATATCACAGACCCTGATATCTTCGTGACTTCGTTACGAGAGGATGTAATTGCCGCGACACTTTCACGTGTTCCAATTCGTGTACGTTAATGTGGGAAACTGTGTCCTTATTAAGAATAGAGCCACTTTGGTTTTCGAAACTGTAATAATTCGAAATTTTGGACGAGCGGTAATTTAATTAAAATATATATAAGCTACTACCGAGGCTACTACGAAATGCAATCAACTTAAAATATAGATAACGGATATAAATAATATTAAATATAAGTCTCATTTTCAGCTTGTAACAGATAATTTATACTGTTTATTTTTTATTTTTTTCTGTTTAAACATAAAATTTAGACAAGCTTTCAAATATTTATAAATAATTACATCTCCTTTTTATTCACATTAAACAATAAAGGTAAAAGATATCTGTTATATAAATTATTCGAGAATAAATGCTGATTTGTTTGGGTGCATTTATTTTTAAGTGTGGTATGTATAATTAAATATAGCATAAAACTAAATACTTATTTAGCAATTTATTTCGAGATCCGAGTTTATATTCCCCAGAATTGAAGTGATCGAAAATGGATAGCAAAAGACAATAAAAAAAGACTTGAATATCGTTGAAAGAAATTACCACGTATTAGAAAATTAAATTTGTATTGATTTAATATAATATTAGAAATTCAGAATTTCTTAACAATGATGATACTCTTTCGGTTTGACCTGGACGTAATAAAATGTCGCGACCTGTATTCATTTTGATATATACCTCAGCTAAACTCGGCAAGATTAATACGGTACATGCATTTTAATATTAGCTCGATAGTCGATCCTTCGGATGGGGAAACACGATTTTACTCCTTGGGTCATCGGGAATAGGGAAACCGAAAATAAAACTCGATAAACGGTTTCGTATTACGCGGGTCCCTCGGTATTAAACCTGCTTATTCGCATTTATAATTAATTATCCCGCGGCTAATATCGGACGCATATAAGGTTTGCCTTCTGCTCTTCAAGGTGCTCTACGATATGTGCTATATGAAAATTGGTATAAAAAATTTGAGAAATTGGAACAGTTGGAAGAAATACAAAGATAGCAATATGTGTGTTGACATTTTTGATATGCTATCCAATGATAGATTAGTTACGTTTTGGCTAAAAACTTGGGTTTATTTATAGATTGTAGACGAAGAAACAAAGCAGTGTTTATTGATTCGCTATATAGACGATTCGCGAAATACATATATATCATATAAGCGCGCATACGTCGTGAGCCATATTATATCCTTTGCGGAAACGAAACCGCTGGAAAAGACCGCTTTAAAGGCCATAAAACATTTGTTTCCACCCGTCACCGCTTGCCCGGGGGTGGTATATTGCGTTCGTCCGCGAGCGCGGGATTTTGAATTGAATTTGAAATCAGGGTGCCCCGATTTTATGACGGCCGGGTGTCAAATGTCGAAGTGTCGCGCCCGGTGCCGGCTTATCGCCGGGAAAACTCTGAGATCCCGAGGACGAAAGCTCCAAAAGGGCGTTATCGGTTTACGCCGCAGCGCAGGTCGCGATACAGGATGCCGGAAGATCGTTCAATTCCGTTTTCGATTTGGACCTCGCGTGAAAAGGCGACGGAAAGAAGGGCGTAAAAGGGCACGAAGGTCACTGTTTCGTTTTATTGCGACTCTACTCCACCTTGATGATCACTCCAACCGATCGGATCATTCGGATCGTACTTATAACTCAGAAGTTCCAAGTTATTTTCTTCCAACTTGTTGCAGATGTTTTCCGCGAGATCCCGAGATTCTCTTGTTATTATTAGCAATATTCAATTATTACGATTTTTTTTATCTCAGATTTGTATTTGCCATATACGATTAATTTAGTATTAAAAGAGAACAAGATCGAAATTGATTTCATTTCTTCATCTCATTATTACGCTTAAATAAAGCAGATACGAGAAGTAACGTCACTTTGAAGATCTTTTCTACAATGGTGTTTGTATACGAGACAAGCGGATGTTATGTTAACATAGCATTGATATCAGATTATAAACCACAATGTCGACAATATAATTATACACACCGATGTTTGCAGTAAATTGTGTTATTATTAATCTGCACGTGCGACATTAATACGTCGAAATGTTGTGAAATATGTGCAATGTGCATGTTAAATAAAAACGATATTGTTCAATAGATTTTGTACAAGATCAGCATTGATCGTTAATATCTGGACAAACAATATCAGATTGTGAGAAACTGCTCCTCTAGTAACAGATATTTCTTCTAGTATTTCTTCACGATAGCACGCGTCATGTGCCACACACTGACAACAAATGTTATTAATGTTAAAAAGAATGTTATATTGTTGGCGCGGATTAACGTCTCGAACCTTATCGCGTATAAACAGCTGTGGCTTTATTTAGTGATATTGTATGGATCGATGTTTTATCACATTTCGTCATCGTTTGATAAAAACGGCTGTGTTTCATTGTTTAAATTAACAAATTCAGTCTGATCGTCGTGTCTTAAACAACCACTATTTATATACACTTATGTGACTAGTAAATATTTTTTGTTCCATGCTTTGAGACTTTCCAAATACAATGACACTCCCTCACCCTTTGATTTATCATGTGTCATTATCAATTTCTCCCTCTCTCCCTCTTCCTTCTCCTCGCCTCCCTACCCCGTCTTTCTCTTTCTCTCTCTCACTCTCTCACTTACTCACTCATTCTCTCACTCACTCGCTTAATAGAATATAGCATTTTAATATTCTATTCATATTACTACGTCAATATAGTCATAATGTTGTACTAATGGTTGAATTAGATTGTACTTGACTGAAAAAAATAAAGTATCGCAGATATATTTTTAATTTTCTGTATATATGTTATATACTTTTTAAAATTATATTTAATTATTAATTAATTGTACTTAATAATTAAATATTTAATTTTACATAAAATTAATGTAAAAATCAAAGAGATAGAAAGAGAGAGAGAAAGAGAGAGAGAGAGGGAGGGAGAGAGGAGGGAGAGAGAAAATAGATTTAAGACAGAATACTAACAGTTAGCACGTTAGAATTAGTTGCATAATATTCATGTTGATCTTAGATTAAAAAGATTCGTCAATCCTTGTTAGTTCTGACAAGCTAGTCAGAACAAGATTGAGTCAGGAAAGCAATAAAAAAATAAATATTGCATGTGCAGTGATAAATCCAGGTCATTCTCGAAGATTAATTTCTCACCTGATCGTTGTCTTGTTGATCTTGCCCGTAAGTGGAAGTATCACCATTAGGGGTGGTGGCGGCGGAGGGTCGCTGTGACGTTGACAAGTTGATCGCGCCGTCTCCGTCTGTATCATGATCCATTATGCCATCGTCCTGAAATCACGCCGCGATCATCGTTATACGTTAGTACGCTCTCGCGCACCAAGCTCGATTATAAATGGCGCGCACTTTTGGAGAACGTTGCTATTCGTTGCATTTTCCTCATCATTGCAATTCTAATGATATAGTAATATGTAATAAATAACACTAATCTAACTCATTAATCTTGTTTAGTTATAATATATTAAATTCGCATCTGTATTATAATATAAAGTTATTATAATACAAATTGTCATTTTTTTACCGAATAAAAATTGTACGTCAACTTATATTTACATTTGTATTTAACCCACGTTCACTTCGATTCAATAATTAGTTTAAGATTTGATTTTATACATGTGCTTTTAACTTCTAATTGTATTTTTTTATCGTTATTATTCACTGCTTTCAAACACAATGTAACTCCTTATTTGACTTCTGTGTTTTAGCGACATTTAATTGACTTATCTCCGCATAATTATTTTTTTATTCTCTGTACTATGTGTTCTTTGTTTAATTATCTAATTTATTATATTTGTTTTGATAATTGAGGAAAAAAACTGTTTATGTTAGATATATACGTCCCGTGTACATTTAAGAGATATTACATAAACTATATTTATTTTTTAAACTTAACACCTCTCGATTGCTTTCTTGGCCTTTGACTTCTTACGTTATATTTGTACGATTTATTACTTATCTCTCACATATAGAACATTTGAATAGATACGACCTCTAATCGTTTAATAACCTGTATTGTACTATTTTTCCTGCTTCTCTATTTAAAGAAATATAATTCATTAAAAGAATGACGCATAAAATATACACAAATACTAGCATAAAATCTGTATAGTCATACGTAAGTACTAGTAAGTGATAAAAATATATCAGAAATACCCAGAAAGAGAGTTGTACAACAAACACACTGTAATACTCACTATATTTAATTGTTGAACACAATTAAATATAATGAGTATTTTAGGAATATTCGGTCATGATCCCGGAGCGTGGTAATCGTGACGAAATTTCAAAACATGCTCCTATCCGACATTGCCCTCGTGTGAGCCATGATTTTAAGATCGAAGTCTGACGCACGTGATTCCACCATATACCTAACGTAAGAGAAATAATGTTTCGCGGTTGCGAAAAGCTAATAATACGTGCTTTCCCGGAAATGCGTAACATCACGCTAAGGATTCTGCTAAATTTTCACGCCAAGACTCTGCTTCTCGTCATAAGCGATGTATAATACACAATACCTACGTGCTTATCGTAAATATTTCGCGAGCATCGCGCGCGGATAGTTCAGCCGCGTATAAATAATTCGTAAATTCCATCGTAATACCGTACGCGAAGTGTACAAAGCGCGGTGTATATTGATGAAAGTAGAAAATTATACAATAAGGTGTGTACGCGTGTATATTATGAATAGCTAATTTATCGCGAACTTAAATAAGAAATTAACGCGTCCGCGGTAAAGCGTAAGAAACAAAATGAATGTGGGACGTAAATGTCCCGCGGATTGTTGCATTGCGTTCGTGCGCCTGTGTAAAATAGATCCCAAATTAAATCACAATTAACATATTAATTATTCAGGAAAAATTAGTCACGCAATATTCTTCGATCTTGCATCTTACCCGCCCGGCTAAATTGGAAAGCGTCATTTTCTCTCAGAAAGGAATAATTACGCGCGACGTGCAACCGTTAATTAAACATCGGCGAGTTATTTCGAATTCCACGGCTGCAGTAGAGGTGCGTTCGCAGACGTATTTCGTAAAAATAAAAAAAATAACACGCAATCAAGCGTCGTATAATTAATGCCCACTTCACGATCATCGATTATTCACGACGACAGTCGCGATTAATGTTGCGTCACGCTTAAAGTCGCCTAAGACGATCGCTTAATTAATTCTTAATTAATGTACGCGTCGCGCCGAGAATTCAATCAAAATTCCTTACGTCTGTTTCGGTTCGCTGTTAGGCGCGTTGCAGTCCATGAGAATTAACGGTTTTGCTCTCCGACGAGAAGAGGAAGAAAAATCTGCTGTTTCCGGCGTCACAGAGAGAGAGAGATTGCCGCTTCACGCGGCAAGCGGCATTTCCGGCCCCCCGAAAGCGCCACGACGCGACGTGGCGCGTATACGCGGCCGCAAACACTCCGCGCCTACGTCCACTGTAAACATCCGGAAATGGTATGGCACACGCGGAAATCCCCCGCGCAATGGCGGCGGAAGTCGCCTCCCCGGGGGATTGTGTCTCACGAAGGCACCGGCTATACACGTTCCTCGCACTGCATCCAGAAAGCGGCACTTTGAACCTCCTCCGCGAAACTCCAGTCACTCGCGGCGGCGGGGGGAGCGGGGGGCGGGGGGTTGCGAGATGAAGGGAGGGCGGGAACGCAAAGGGGGTAAGACGAAAGCGCACCCCCTGACAAACTGAGCGCGACGGGCAGCGCGACGATAAGAGTAAAGGGAGTGAAAACGAGAAAAAAAATGGGTGAACGAAAGAAGAAGGGGGAGGAGGAGGGAGAGCGCGACGGATTTCGCGAGGAAGACGAAAGCCAAGCGTTAGCGCGCCGACCGTAGTAGAGCGAGGACTAAACACTAAAAGCGGCACAGGCATACCGAGCAGCGCTCGACCGGCGGGGCTGTTGCTTATTGTGTAAATATAAACAAATATAGTTGAAACCAACCAACAGGCCTGCTTTCAGCCCCCCCGCCCCGCCCCTCAACCCCCCGCGCTGCCGCAGTCCTCCGCTCAATGTGTGTACCCTACCTTCTTCTCCTCCACGTTCCCTCGTAATCCCCCCCTACCCGCGTTACCGCGTCCCCTCTACGCGGCACATCCAAAGACTTTCCCCCCTCGGCCCCCTTAGACACCTACCCTTCGTCACGTCCCTGACCCCACTGCCGCCGCGACTACATCATACGCGGCACATCGTGGTCTCTGACTCGCCTCACCATATGTTCATTTCTCCTCCTTACTCTCGTTCCCTGTCCATATCCTCTATCTCCTTCTCTTTCTCTCTCCTTCTCCCTCTCTCTCCCTCTCTTTTTCTATACCCGCGCATCACACATCGCCGCACTCTGTCGCCCGAAGTTGCTGGATTACGTGCAAGCGGGGCCCTAAGAGATCTTCGAGGTTCTTCTTTTTTTTGTGGGACGCCTCCATGGATCGTGGAGAAAGGAAACGGTCGAAGTGCGTCTTTTTCTCGGATATTTCTGACGTGCGTGTTGTGGGAATAGCTATAATTATTCGGGGTTTACCAGTTTACGTGCCAAAGTTCTTCACCGTCGATCAATTGATAACTGTACGAAGAGGAATGTAAAATTTTCCCGAAGCTCTTGGTACAAAAATTTTGAAAATAAAAGAAGTTGAACACTTGAATAAGAAGGAAAAATTATATTTCAGTTACTTTGGATGTGTATAGCGGGTACCAAATTTATTTTGATTGTTTCTGAAGATATGTAAAATACAAAGAGATATAAATGTTTTAAATAGAAATGTTCGTTGTTTGTATATATCGCCTTTTATAAAAAAAATCTTCATAAAAATGTGCGTTCGTTATACGTGCACAAGATACTCGTACATCTTTCATCTGTAATTTCGCTACGTAACTTGCGTCTTGTGTCCTAAAATAGCGTCAAGTCATCAAGTCGGTTTGCTAACAAATTTCTGCCGAATAAATATTGAAACTTCTCTTTTAGAAATTATATATCGCTTTAGCAGAAGCCACACTTCGATATATATTTCTCTCTCCCTCTCTCTCTCTCTCTCTATTTATTTTACTGCATACTTGTCTATTTTCTCAAAGCGCAATCTGAGTTATAAACCGTATAAGCGGTTCGCGCGTACAGACAGCTTTTGACAACACAATCTTCAACGTATTAACGACGATGCATCGTATGCATCATTGAATACTAACCCTCTTAACGCACTTCACACGATAAGCAACTTAACTTCACTCCGGATTTCGCGAAAAGAAACGAAGTGGACGTTGCAGGTATGGAAATCCTATTCTTTGGTTAGCTAAGTATATATGCGTGAGGAGAGAAGCGGCTACACACAGAGCGATAAATACGCGTGTACACACGTGTTGCCTGACGCAACTCCAACGGTCGAACCACCGGCTTCGAGTTTGTACAGGCGAACCGGAAATGGGGGACAAAATGTTCCTCGAAACGAGACGTGTGTCCTTAAATATTCCTTTCACTCGCCTCAGCTTCTCGACAATTACACTATGTAGAGCGATACTGTACTTCTCTGTACACACGTAACGTAAAAACACACGTACTCGAATTTCAAATTATTATATCACACACTTGTTTCCTACATAAACTTATGTTACACGGTGGCACGGTGACCCTATATGGGGGATGAAACTTCGACTATACGGCGATCTATTCTACAATTTAATGATGCGTGAAATATTATTTATCTGTAACTTTAGTTATAACATTTGAAACAATGCAACTAAATATAGTTCGGATAATTTTTAAAAATTACCAATACAAGACAAATAAATACTATTTATGCTGATATTAAGAATTTAATTTAATAATTTATCTCTATGTAGCATGTATGTATATAATTGTTGTAAATTACTCACATGATAATGAATATGTATTAAATTATGAGGAGTCTTAAAGTCACTAATTATTTTAGCAGAAGCAAATTTTATATTGACGATATTGAGAAAGTAATACATGTGTACATTAATATACGACTTACAGATTTACGCAAAATTAAAGTATATGAATTGTGTAAAAGAGAAAATTACTTCACTCAAAACGGCAAATATGCAAACTGCTTGAAAACTAAATTGAACATTCTCTAAGATGCTTTCCATTAAACTCACCAATATCTCGCTGAAAAATTTAACAGAGACCTATGTTTCACGGAACACTTGAATAAATAACATAAAGCCGAAGTCGAAGTCGGGACGACTAACCTGCATAAATTCTCGTCGAAAATCCGGCGTCCGGCGTAACGCGAAATTTTCACCGCATTTTCCG